TTGCTCTTATAGAGGACTCAAGTTTGATTCCCAGCACCCACATGGCAGCTAACAACAATCTGTAACTCCAGTTCCAGGGGAATCCAACACTGTCTTCTGACCTCCGCAGCACTGCATGACACAGGTGCACTCACATGCATGCAGGCAAAAAAAAAAAAAAAAAAAAAAAAAAAAAAAAAAACTAAAATAAAAATAAGTGATCATATTTGTATAACATTACACTTGAAGTACCAGAATGTGGAATTTAGAGGACCTGAATAAACAAGCCTGAAATGCCAATTCAAAGACTGTAAACCAGTATCTTAAACAATGATTCAGCAACTCTTTGGGTAGAAGCAGTTAGTCATTACAGCAGCCACAGCAAGGTCACAGAGCTACTTAAAGCACTCCAGCTCTTAACCATGCCAAGCTGACTCCACGATCATCTCTAAGCTTTGGGTGAACTTTAGGATTAGAAAATTAAACAGGCTTGAGAGAGGGCTCAGCTGTTAAGAGCACTGGCTGCTCCTGGAGAGCACCTGGCTCCCAGCACCTATATGGTAGCTAACAACCATCGATAAATCCAAGTCCAGGGATCTGACATCTGGCCTCTGTGAGCACTGCATGCACAAGGGCACTTACATACATGCAAGCAACACACTCATACACATAAAATAAAAATAAATTAAAAATTAAACAGCCATCACTATGATACTACCATTAAAAACAATGTTATGCTGCAAGATGGCTCAGCAGATTAAGGGCGCTTACCACCAAACCTGACAACCTGAGTTCAACCCTTGGGACCCCCACCTCATAGTGGAATGAGAGAACCCATTCCTCTGAACCAACCCAACCCTCCACACACACTGTGGCACATGAGCTTCCCTCTACCCCCAATAAACAAGTGCAAATAAAAATATTTTTAAATATTACTTTTCTTCTTAACCATACTTACATTTTTGTGGTGAAAATTTTCCCTTTGCAGCAACCAAAAGAAACTAAGAGCCCACATTATGCTATTTAACCTTAATATACAGGCTTGCTCAGAATTTGAGAACAACTGTTTGGTGTGCTAGTTTAAAAGAATAAAATTAAAAAAAAAAAAAAATCCCAAAGCAGCTGTGTATGGCAGTACTTGCCTATAATCCCAAGGATTTGGGAGGCTGAGGCTGAAGGATTACCAGTTTGAAGCTATCCTGGGCTACACAGTAAGTCCCTGTTTCAAAACAACCCAAAACAAAATGAAACATGAAGTAACTTTTCATTGAGATTAAATACCAGGAATAGTACTTCCCTGATAGAAGGCAAGAGTAAAATAAATGATTCTTACAAAAGCATGTAATTTATTTTTACAATAGAAAAAATAGCAAAATCAGGATGTATAGTTTCAAGTGGAACTTTGGCAAAAGAAAAACAGGCAAGAAGAAAACTAAGTAAAAATATTTTTATAGATTAATAGATATATATTACCTCTGCCCATGATCATGCTTTATTACAGGGCTCAAGAAAACTGGTCTGTGGCCTAAATCCAGTACACTGCCTGCTTCTGCAAACGGGGTTTTATGAGAGCATAGCTCTGCCCCTTCATTCACTTACAGTACATTGCTGCTGCGTTCACACTACCAAGTCTGTGCTGAGTAGTTATGACAGGCTGTATACAATGCCTAAAATGTTTGTTACCTTATTTTTTAAAAATTGTTTGCCAGTCCTATTGATTTAATTGCACTTACTATCTAAAATTATATTTCTTACTCCCTTATGGTCTGACTCCTCCTCTGGAATGAACATTTCATTAAGTGACTTTGTTCTCTACTACATTCTCAGCATGGCCCAGAGAATGTACTCAACAATGGTGCTGAATGAATGAGAAAGAAAAGGTATCAAGGATGCCCCATAATCCCATTCTGAGCTGCATTCCAACTATTCAGCCTACCAACCCACCAAACTCTGTCTTGTCAATTAGCTATTGAATTTATCATTTTGAGAAATTCAATAATTAATCCTCAGTCCTCACCTTTCTTGACCCATTGGCACGATCTGACCTACTCTGATGACACCTCCCCCACTTTCTTCACCTGCCTTTCAGAGCACTTTGTTTCTTCCCCCAGAACTGGGACTTCCTTAGTTTTCTTTGCTGCAAATTTACTATGCCCATCTTTTAATGTTGACCCACTTCATGGTTCAGTCATTGAGATTTTTCTGTCTATTCTCACTTCCTTGCTGAGTTCATCATTTAATGTCATGCTACTCTGATGTGTAGCAACTTCTTTGGAGATAAGACATTCTGTGTTGGAGGGAAGCTCCTTAAGATGCAGGATGCTAAAAGGGAGGTGAAATACCCCGATGGCCTAAGGGGAGGGAAAACTTTCCTCCTTAAACTCTGGAAGTTAATTCCATAGTTTAGGAAGTCTCTGAAACTGAAGTTCCTGAAACTGACCAGGTTCATTAGGCTCCTTACTCTCCAAGATCCTACTGTGAAAGATACTATCACACCAGCCCAGCTACCTGGAAGAGGTTCAGACCAACTAGTTACCTGGAAAAGACACTCCAACCTGTTGAGCTGCCCACAGGTTGTTCTATGCTTTCCAGGTTCCAGGTTTCCTGCTTTCCTGAGCTGCCCACATGCTGGGGTAGGTCTTTGGTGATGCAGCTGTCTTTTGAGTCATCTCTGCTCCTATAAGTGACCCCAATCAACTAAACTGGTTCACCAAGTTGGACCTGGGTGGCATCCTGACTTTGGTCTGTCATCAGTTTCCTATCTGGCGGGAGTAGGTATCTGTTAACATCTCCCCAGGAATAGTGTCATACAATATAAGCCTAGAGATTCCAAACTTAGCTAGTTCAAGACTAAAACCAAGCTCATCTTTCCCCCTCTATCTGTTCCTTCACACCACTGACATCTCAGGACAGTAATACTACCCAGTTCCTCAAGCCAAAAATCTGTAAGAGACAAACAATCCTCACGCTTGTACAACCTACATCCAATCTATCACCAAACTCTGGTGGTTGGTTTTATCTTATAACTATACTTCGGGCTAATGACCACTTATCGCTTCTACTGGCACCAACCAGGTCTAAGCCACTATCATTCTTGCCTGATATATGTGCCTTGCTCTTTTTCACTCTAACACAGCAGCCAGGATGGTCAAGTTTAAAATATAAGTCATTAAGTTCAACAGTGTTCTCTTTCCTTCTCAAAGTCACCAATTTGGCCCCATTTCCACTTGACACATAGGCCTCTATGTCAAGCAAGTTTTCCACCCAGTGCCTTCGCAAATGGTCAAAAGGCTCTTCTGGGTGATTTGAATGAATGAGGATTCTTGAGTAAGACACCGCATGTCACACTGTCACCTCATTCTCAAAAGACTCTATGAGAAAGGTATCACATGTCTTCCACTTCATAGATTAGGAATGTGAGGTTTACAGATCACCTAGTAAAGAAATGATAGAATTTGAAACTCAGATCAGTCTCCACAGAACATGAGCTCTCCCTGAAGAAATTTTTTTTGGGGGGGGGGAGATCCAGTAATGGTCCTCATAAGTCACAGTAACTTCATAAATGGCTTAAAAAGGTGCATGTGGACAGCTAGGAAAGGTATAAGGAAGAGCAATTTGCGGAAGACAACCAGAAGGAACTCAAGCCACGGATGTGGTGTCAAATGGAGCGCATACATCTCCAAATCCAAGAACAGAGCACATGCATCACAGTAACCACACCTGAAGTGGATAACAATGGTGCCCTTGATTTAAAAAAATACAGGGGCTGGAGAGATGGCTCAGCGGTTATGAGCACTGGCTGCTCTGGCAGAGGACCTGGGTTCAGTTCCCAGCACCCACATGGCAGCTGCAAACAGTCCATAACTCCAATTCCAGGGGATCCGACGCCCTCTTCTGGCCTCTATAGCATTGCATGACACGGATGCACTTACACACATGCAGGCAATACACTGATACACATAAAATAAATAAACTCTATTCCTGTCAATTGTGCTGCCCAGAGATAGTCTACTGGCCACCACCCCTCGTCTGTGGTGTGTGACATGTGATAGCTGTGGTTAGACATGACCAGGCAGCCCAGCTTCAGGCGAAGTCCGTGTGCAGAGGAGGGCAAGGGGCGGCTGGTCGGCCTCCAACTCCCTGACTGCCTCTGGGCATCGTGACCTGCAGGTCTGGACAGTCTGAGGGGGTGCTGAGGTGGCCGGAGTCCCACAACCCTGGGGGGACAGCCTGGACCCCCACCTCCCCCAGCCCAGCCCTCGACCCCAGGGCGGGGGCTGACGCCGGCTCACCACGGCTCCGGCCACGGCGTGGACCAGGCTTTCGTAGGACAGCACGGAGGCCATGGCCCCGGCAGCACGACTGCCGCGCGGGTCTCAGAGCTGAACGGGACCGGGAGTCACACGCGAAGCACCACCCGAAGTCTGCAGCTCCACCTCAGGCCCTCCCGGCCCCCAGAACCACTTCCGGGTCGCTGGCCGCCGGGTGTCGCCCTGGAGACCCGCCGCCGGCGTGGGCGTGGTGGTCCGAGGACGCCCCTATGTGCTGATTGGTCCGGGCCGAGGGGGCGGGGCCACCGGCGACTGAGCCCCGCGGGTCTGCGCCCGGCTGGCTGCCCGTCTCGGGTCTCCAAGGACTACACCGACGGTTTGGGGGCTCGGCTCAGTGCAAGGCGTGCTGGCGTCGTCTGCGGGAAGCGCCGGGTCCCTTCCCCAGCACCGCACGAACACACGAGTAATCGCGGCACTCAGGCGGTGAAGAGGATTCAGGGTTCGAGGTCATCCTCAGCTAACACTGCCTTAACCCAAGCTGAGGTCTGGACGGCTGGGAGCTGGAGGGCCTAAGCTGGAGATCACGTCCCAGTAAAGCAGACCCCTAGCTAATTTGGAGGCTATCAGGGGTTCCAGTCTCTTCCAGTCACCGCCATCCACGATACGGAACGAAAGGGCTGAAGCCTGCTAGGGCAAAAGCTCTGCACTGAGCTTCTGATTTACATTTTCACTGCAGCACCATAGAAAGGGGTCTCACAGAATTGTTCAAACCTTTAAAAATTGTATTTCCTTAGTGTGCTTTCTTTTTCAAGCCCTGATTTTTTATCTTTATGGATTTTGCCTCCATGTATACAATGTTCACCGAGGAAGAGGACGTCGGGTCCCCTGGAAGGAGTTACAGACGGTTAGTTGCTACAAGGGTGCTAGGAAATGAACTCAGGTCCTCTGCAAAAGCATCCGTGTTCTGAACCCGAACCACCTCTCCAGTCCCCATTCTCACTGTGTGAACGAGACCGCAGTGCCCACTAGGCTGGACAAAATCTTTGGATCTCTTGGAGCTGTAGTTACATGAGGTTGTGAGCCACCCAAAGTGAGTGCTGGAACTGAACTTGAGTCCTCTACAAGGGCAGTACAGCTCTTAACCGCTGAGCTCTCTCCAGAGCCAACCACAAGTTTTATCACATTGCTTTTTAAAGAATTTTTTTTTTATATTTTAGGTGTATTGTCTGCAAATAAGTGCATTTGTGTTGTGCAGTGCCCATACACAGAAGAGGGCATTGGATCTCCTGGGATGGAGTTACTCACAGCTGTTAGCTGCCAGTGTGGGTGGTGGAATTCAAACCTAGGTCTTTTCCAAGAACAGCCAGTGTTCTTAACGCTGAGCCATCTTTCCAGCCCCATACTAATCACATTAGTTGTATACTTAATGACACTCAACTTTTTAGTTACTATTCCAAAAGTTTATTGTCCTTATTTTGGGGCCAATCATGCCACTCTTTACTATTTAGAGAAAGCTATGTTGGATTTAACAGCACACAATACGTGGGATATTCCTTGTCACTCTTATTCGAATGTACATTTGACTTTCTTAAATAGCAGCCAAGCATGATGGCACCCCTGTAATATTAACAGTACTGGGGAGGAGGAGGCAGACAGAATTCAAGCTAGCATGGACCATCAAGACCATGCTTCAAAAACAAAACCCCACCTGCAATAAAAATTTTTTTCTGTAATAATGAAACTTGCACATTAGTTGAAATATTTAGGAAAATCCCAGCTCCACAAAATAGCAATGGGATACTGGCAATTACCAAAATGCTTCAGTATCCTCATCTACACAACGGCAAAGTGATAAAGGTATTCACCCATATGGTATTAGAATTGAAATTGTTGGAGGAACTTATTACAACAGTGCCTGGTACTAGTGTCACAGTGTTTTGAACTCGGGAGCATTAATCCTAGATAATAGTCAATTTCTAAAACAGAAGCCATTTCTCCTTTCATAAAACCAGTATTTGAGCCAGGCATTGTGCCACACCTTTAATCCCAGCACTTGGAAGACAGAAGCAGGCAGATCCCAGATACAGGCCAGCCTGGTTTATATACTGAGTTCCAGGCCAGCTGGGGCTACAGGGAGACCCTGCCTCAAAAGAACCCCAAAACTAGTGTCTACTATTGGGGCAGATTTGCTAGCTGGCATACCAAGTTTTTGTTTACATCTATGCATGACATATTGTACATATTTCCTTACAGCCATGTAAGCTAACCACCCCCAACAAGCTGACCAATGGAATATGACGGACGCTCCTACCATACACCACCATCTCAGTGTGTGTCTGACCACCTCTCCTATTTCCTCACAGGTTAAGAGGAACAGCAAAGCAACTTCTTTGGACCCACATTACTTCCCCAAGTATGGCAGAACTGCTAACCTCTAGAAAGCTACAGACTGGAACGAACCTCTGATTTAACTTAGGTAAATCAACGTTATTTTGGAGAGGAGTACTTAAAGAGTTTTTTTTACACCCAGTCTTGCTATGTAGCTCAGACTGGACTCAGAAACTCACAGAATCTTCCTGCTTCATCCCCCTAAGTGCTAAGATTACATATATGAACCACTAAGTCCAGTTTTAGAAGTCTCTGTTAACATTTAGTAACCTTTGGCCTCCACACTATGTAACCAGATAAACAGAGACAAAAGTGTAGCATGTACTAACAAAGAGGGGAATCAATATCCAGTGTGAAATCATACTTTATTTTAGCATACTTGGAAAGATTCACTGTTTTTAAGCAGAAAACTCCTTTACCTTCTTATAGCATTTTTTCTTTAGTATCTTTAGCGCAAAAAAAAAAAAAAAAAAAAAAAGCCCACAAAACATTTCCGGTTTAGAAATGATACTGAGTCTTTATGAAAATGAAGACTGTATTTTTTACTATTTATGGAATTTAGAAGTCTAAAAGCACAGGATACACATTTTACCCATTTATGGTAATATCTGCAGTATTAGAATATAAATAGGTCACACATAATCAGAGTCCAAAAGAAACTAATCTTCTTGAGTAAAGCACAGCACATCCTGGAAACTTTAAGAACATACACACGAACAAACATTTGGCAAGTTCAGATCCAAGTATGTATGATGAACACTTAGGTATGAACTCCATGGATTTTATCATTTTTTTTTATCCTTGCACAGGGAGAGAAAGCAGAAGTGGAGGTGTAGTTGCAGTACTTAAGAGCCGAGTAGGACAACAGTACTAACAACTCCAAATGAGTAACATGGCTCTCATCTCTTTTATAATCCATATTAGATTACGCAGCTGACTTTAAATCTTCAAAATACAAAGATGTATACAAGATAAACTCTTAATTGCAATTTTTCTTTTTTGCAATTTCTAAAGTATACCTAATACCAAAGGGAATCCCTCCTTCCAGTTTTCTGAAATGAGTTCACAAGAGTGATAGTTTAACATTTAAATAAGTAATCCCATGGCTGAGTAAGATGCCACAGCTGTTATGGGTGTTACCGTATGGGTTACATATTAAATTCAACCAACCAATAAACGTCTCCACAGTTATGAGTGATGACAGCAGTGATACTGGTGAAAAATGAGTATCTTTAAGCTCAAGAAGATTAAAGGGCAAAAAATAGGGCAAGCAAAAAGCAGATTAGAGTTATTTCCTAATAGGAAAGGTAATTTTTGACAAATTTAAAAAGGAAAGTACTCCCTCATTTCCTCTATGTGGAAATGATACAAAACATTTATATGAAATACTGGACAATAACAGAGCTAGGTAATCCAACTCCATTGCAACATTAAAAAAAAGAAAATCACCCTTCAGCAGTGTGAGTTAATCATAACCTACACCGGGTATCTGTCCAGTGAGACTCAGTAAGACTGCTGACTGCTGCTGCTCTGCCAAGGACTCCCAGTCTCTATCCAAGCCAGACTGAAATACTGGTGGTCCCAACAGTTGTAATGAAATAGATCATTTGAAATAAAACATTCTAAAAAGACAAAATGCTTTAGTAACCATATGTCCAACTCAAATGGAATCAACCTAATTATTTTTTTCCCACTTATCAACCTTTATTTCAATCAACCTTTATTTCATTCAAAGGGAAAACCCAAAAGGATTAGTAAAGAAAAATGTGAAAATTAACAACACCCTTTAAGTTTGAGAAAGTGTTCAAAGTTTGTAAATCCTAGTAGGAAAACATTATCTGAATGAATATCCTAATGGCAAACCATTGTAAAATACTTCAGCTGCATTTGGTGCAGAAGGGTAGGGATTATCTTCAAAGCACCCCGGCTCTCCTGATGAGAAGGTCAGAGGTACACTGGTTTAGATTATTGCGACATCCATTAAGTGATCTAGGCTGCTTTTCCTTCAGTAAGGGCTTTGTCAAATGGACATTATGCTTGACCTCCAAATTTGGCTGACAATTTACTGATGAGATTCATAACTTTTGGGTTGCTCTGATATTTTGACATATTTGCAGGGTTCTGGGCCACATCCTGGAAGGCCACCATAACTTCTGGATCCTGAAAAGAAAGGTGTTGGGTTGGAATTTATTATTTCAACAAAGTGCCCACTTGACCAAGTTTAGTATCATAAATGCTTATCACTTTTACTTAGATCTTCAAAGTCAAGTTTAATTCTATCACTTGAACTATACAATGAAAATAAGCCCAATCTCATGGTTGAAGAGACGGCTCAGCTGTTAAGAGAATTGGCTGCTCTTCCAGAGGACCCAAGCACTTCTTCCAGAGGTTCACAGCACCTATGTTAGGTAGCTCACAACCACCTGTTAACTACAGCTCCAGGGGAACTGATGCCCTTTACTACCCTCCACTTGCACTCCTCCCCAATATGCACAAATAAAACGAAACCTTAAAAAAAAAAAAAATCGCAATTTAAAAAATGTGATGCCTACAAAATTAGCTAATTGATAACTAAGAAAACTGGAAATGGCTAAGTGTGTACTACAGTCACCACAAAAATGTAGAAAAGAAATGCTTCAATGACTGCAGCCCGACTTTGTTCTAGATCTTACCTGCATGGCTGCAAGAACCTCTGGATCACTGAGAATCTCATTAAGTCCAGGCATTCCTGCCATTCCAGGCATGCCCCCTCCCATTCCAGGCATTCCTCCAGGAAAATTTCCAGGCATTCCTCCAGGAAAACCACCTGCAAGAATAAATGAAAGCATCAGAGATACCAACGATACTCCTCTCCACCAACACAATTACATGCACAGAGAACAAGGATGCCATTAAGCAGTCAGTACAGCGTAACTGAACACAACAGGGTAATAAATCAAACTTCTAATTTCTCCTAAAAGTAGAGCGGGTACTTTCTGGATTTGTTTTTCATTAGCTAGAATTGCTCAACAAAATTAGTCTTACCTTAAAAAACAAAGGCCCAACAAATAGTCTCTCTGAATGCCAAAGTCAGGCATGTTAATCATCTTATTTGGGGGCAGGAAGGTTTGAGGGAGGGTGGGCTGACCTGGAATTTTTCTTTTTAGTATTTTTATTCATTTTCTTTTTATGTTATGTGTATGTGTGTATTGCCTGCATGTAGATAAGTGCACCCGTGTCATGCAATGCCCACGGAGGACAGAAGAGGCCGTCGGATCCCCTGGAACTGGAGTTACAGACAGTTGTTAGCTGTCTCGTGGGCGGTAGGATTTGAACCTAGGTTTTCCACAACAACCAGTGTTCTTAACCGCTGTACCACCTCTCCTGCCCCCAAGACTTTTATTTATTACTTTTATGTGTATGAGTGTACTGCCTGAATGTAGGTAGGAACACCAGTGTTGTGCAATGCCTGTGGAGGTCAGAATAGAACACTGGATCCCCTGGAACTGGATCTACTGCAAGAGCAGCCATCTCTCCCAGTCCCCTGAAATTCTTTAAGGGTTATTTTGTTTTACCTGTGTGTAGTGTGTATGTGTGCCTGAAGAGGGCGGAAGAATACATGCCCTGTAGCTGGAGTTAAAAGCACTTATAAGCTGGGAACAGAACTCGGGTCCTTTGGGAAGAGCAGCAAGCACTCTCTGGTCTCAAATTCTTGACTTCCTGCCTCAGACTCCTAAATGCTGTGACTACAGGTGTGTACACCACATTGCCCCCTAAATGCTGAGACTATAGGTGTACCACCACACTGTCTCCTAAATGCTGAGTACAGGTAAACCACACCATCTCAATATCTTTGAATTTCTTGATTATGAATAAATATTATTTCACTATAAAGTTAATTTCCACCAGTCTAGGTTTTTTTACTACATTTTATCTAGACAAGTTATTCCTAAGAATTACCTAAAATAGGTATTATATGAATCTGAGTTTCTTCTTTTGGGTTCTTGAGACAGGGCCTTGAATACCCTGGCTGATCTCAAACTTGCTATGTAGGTGAGGCTGGCCTAAAATCTTAAACCTCCTGCTTGACAAATCTTTGCATTTATGATATCAATTCTAAATAAACAAATATTCTGAAAGTGATATTTGATATCTACTAATTGGTTTTATGTGTATGAGTCTACTGCCTGCATGTATGTAAGTGTGCCCAGGTTGTGCAATGCCCACAGAGGTCAGAAAGCAGAGTCGGATCCCCTGGAACTCAATTATGGATGGTTGCTAGCCACCATATGGGTGCTGGGAATCGAACCCAGGTCCTCTGGCAGTCAGTGCTCTTAACTGCTGAGCTATCTCTCCAGCCCCTATTTTTCTATCTTTCTTTTATTTATTTTTTTTTTTAAAGTCAAGGTCTCACCTAGGTAGCCCAGAATGGCCTTGAATTCAATAGGTGGCCCAGACAGACCTCAAGCTCTTGGCAACCCTAAACTTCCCTTCCCTGGGATTACTGGCGCTTTTGACAAGGACTACTAGAAATCCTCTAGCAAAATGATTTCATTCTCTTGGTATACTATTAGATTAGAAAGCCATATTGTTTCCTACTGCTAGATTTAAAAGATTTTCTTTCTCTCTGCGTGTGTGTGTGTGTGTGTGTGCGCGCGCGCACATGGAGACCAGATCATTGGAGCCAAAGTTCCAGGCCTCTGCTACCTGGCTTGTTATGTGGGTGCATGGATTTGAACTCCTGTCCTAATTCACAGCAAGCACTAAGTGCTGAGCCATCTCTTTAGCCTCTCTGCTTCTTTACTACCAACAAACCTCAATGTCTACTGTAGTGATTCTGAAATGACAATATGGTAACAGGGCATCCTAAAGAGAAACCAGATAATGTGTTCTATAGACCAAGTTAGGACAGGTAAAGCTGACATAAAAAAGTAAACACACAACACTCATCTCTATCAAGCTCAACAACAAACCAAGCATGGCCAGGGGCACCAACAACAGGTGAGAAGTCAAGGGACAGAACAGGAAATAATTTCCAAGCGTATCTGGCAGTTCCCTCTGATGAGCTTTGAAAAACTGACTCCTACCCATAAAAAAATTACTGGTACAAGGCTTGTTAAATTCAGGTAACAAAATACGCATAATAGAAGAGCATCTCTAGTGAGAGTGTGCATTAGTGAAAAATTTCTAAAACAAAGGTAACTGACAATAAGATAAATATTTTAAGCAGGACACAAGCTACAGGTTAATTTTTTTTTCTTTTTAAAGTTGTTGAACCATGTTACACTTTCTAGCTTTGGACCAAATAACTCCATTCTAGTAGTGGTACATAGGGACAAATGAGTGCCATCGTCTTCCCTGGAGAAAGCAAATTCCATTAAGTAGCTAGAAACAGCAGTTTAAAAAGGAAAAAAAAAAAAAAATAGTCTCCTCTTTATATAAATTTTGTGCTGCCTCTTTCAGAGCAGTATTTAACTTACACCTATTAGCATGTTAGTTCTTTAGTAACAGTTAAAAGCTTTGTTTTGCAAGTAATTTATGATCAAGTAACATATGCAAAAAGGAAAAAAGGGTTGGGAAGACAGCTCAGCAATTCAAGGGCACTTGCTGCTCTTCAAGAGGACCTGAAGTTCAGATCCCAGCACCTGTGTCCAGAAAACCACAACTGCAACTCCAAAGAACCAAAAACCTCTTCCAGCTTCCGTGAGCATGTACACACATGGCATTCACATTCTCACACTCAAATAAAAATACGCAGAGGGAAAAAAGAGAACGCATACTGGACTCAGTTATCTTTATGCCGTAATTCTATATTGGTTTTCTATGGTGTCCTTGTGAATATTAGTACCATTGTAACAGGACATAATGTTGCTCCAGAGGATCCAACATCCTCTTCTGGCCTCCAAGGGCATCATGTGCATGGTGTGCTCTTACACACATGCAGGCAAAACACTCATACATGTTTTTTTCTTTAAAAATCTGAAAATGAAACCATCAGTGCCTTAACATTCTCTGTTGATCCATGGACTAATGGTCCTAAATACATTTAGTATATCCGTCTCTCCCTATACATACACATACACACATCCCTGAGCTCCCAAATCAGAATACACTTTAATTATAGCACTATCAGGCTTTTCTTCAAAAATACCTGGGAAAGAGCCAAACTGAGCTCCTGATTGTCGTCTGGCCTCTTCTTCCTTTAAAGGTAAAATGAAATCATATTATGTATCTGGAGAGAAAAAAAAACGCAAACCTTCTGCCTATATCTAACCTATCCGTGGAAATTCATGGAAATAAAATTATAAAGATAGAATGCATGATAAAGGTCAATGGTTTAACAGACAAACCTATCTCCCACGAAAATTCCTTTTCCGACAGTCAGTGGGCATTATTTTTTCTAGTGATTTCAAGCAGTAGCTTTACTTCTCTGGAAAATTAAACCACAAAAACAATTTATTCATATAACTATTCTTATGAAAATTATCAAATTTTTACTGTTTTAAAGCTCCAACCTAGAAGGCCATATCTGGATTACTAGACTGCCATCATAGTCAGGTTTTCAGGCTCATCTCTTCTGTATTTGCCCAGCAAAGTAGAGGTTTGTTGAGGTATTTTAGTATAAAATAGAAGGCAAACTAGAAACTTCTCTCACACCAGTTAGAAAACAAACATTAAGGATTGTATCCCAAAGATAGAGCATGCATGTGTGAGGCCCTGGGTTCAACCCCCAGGATGTGTGTGTGTGGGGGGGGATATCAAAGATCATGTAAATATAAAATGTGTCTATGTGTAAAAATTTCTATCAGCTATGACACTAAAAAACATAAAGCATGCTTATTAAATGACAAAAAAATTGGGATTTGTTATATAATATAATTTCATGTCCTTTCATTCAACATTGGAAATGATTAAGTCACAATTGATAGTGTCAATGTACAAAGCTAACAGGCAAATTACCAAGAATTTCTTTCTAAATTTCTATGGTTGCACAATTTAAAAAGCAGATTTTTCTTTTTCTTCTTGAGAGAAAAATCACTATGTAGCCCAGGCTGGCTTTAAAGTCAAAGTCCTCCTCCCTCAGCCTCCTGAGTGCTAGGCTTATAGATATGTGGCGCCATGCAAAGCTAGAATCTTTTTTAATAGTCATGAATCCACTGCTGGAAAAGAAATAAAAAACCACACACAGGAAGACAAAATGAGAATACTGGCAATTTTTGGTCACCTTAACCAGCAAATTTTGAATTCAAGAGGGAATAGGTGGTCTGCTAGGGAAGTACTCTAAGTTATACCCTCCACCCAAATTTCTGATTTTACAATAACATAAAAAATATACATTAGTGAAATACAAGTAAGATACTAAAAATACCCTAGACTGGAGACAACCAAGGAAAGACTCCTTTTAAGTGAGGTCCCCCACAGCACCACAGCATTAAGTATAACAAAGAACGAGGACCGGCCCCACAGAACTGTCTCCTGGTTTCTCTCAGGGTCTAGCCAGAGCCCTTACCCTCTGGGCTCTCTCGTGTTCCTCTCGAGCCTTCTTGACCCTCTCAATTCTCTCCTTTATCTCTCGCTCCTCACGTTTTCGCTCGTACTTTCTCCGGTGTTCGGCAATTTTCTGAGCCTAGAAAAAAAAGCCACAGGATTTGCCCAAAATGCTCGAAAAAGCCAAAGTTCTGCTAAGAGTTACTTTTCCTTCAAGTGAGTTGTTTAATCTAATATAGAGATTTACCTTATAGAAAAAAAGATCTAATTCCTGCAAGTAGGGGTGGGGTGGGGGGTGACAATGATGGACTAAGGAGGCCCACCCCACCTGAGGATCTACTGCAGCCTTACAAACACAGCAGCACAGCTTAGGCCTCAGTACTAGCCACGGAGTCTTATAGCTTCCTGTACTGTAACATACCCTCGGTTGAACTTCTTTCAGCATTGCACTAGCATCCTCATCATAATCCAGTTTACAGGCAAGGGCAAGATCATGGGCTGCTTCTTCCCAATGGCCCAGAAGTCTGAAATAAATTTAATCTCATTACAAGAGCCTTTTATACATATTCATCCTGTACATATTCATGGTCTGGTCTCACTAAAAAAAAAAAAAAAAAATACTACGACATAAAATACTTGACTTAAATATTACTAACTATAAATTTTTACCAACCAATTTAAGAAATGTGTTATAATGATGGTTGGCTTTGTAAACTTAAAGGAACTGAAACTCCCTCAATGACCATAAATCTATTCTATTATCTTGGTACTCTGAATTCAGATATTTTTTAAAAGGCTGTAAAGCTGAAAGTATTTTACATAATATATATTTTTCATGCTATTTTCTGTATAGGACTGAAGAGAAAGCTATGCATGTGTGCCTGCTTTACTGGGAAAAAAAGGGGGGGCAGTTAAGTGTGAGAGAGAGAATATGCCTACAGTGCATGAAACACACCCAGCCCCCTCAAGAAAAATAAACGTTAAAAAATAAATAAATAAATGAGAATGGAGCAAAGACAGCAACGTAACTAGGAGGTGTCTAAGTGTATTTTTAAATCCAGTTTTGACTTTTCAAATGTGTAAATATTTAAAGCAAACCTTTAAGCCAAACAGAAACACATGTCAACATAAACAAAACACCAGCTGACTTTATTAACTTTGTAAATATTTTGGATTTGCATAGTGACAAGATGGACTACCAGAAAAACTTTGGCACATCACTTGGAGAGCGTGCTATGCTGAGGTGACAATTAGGAGACACTTACACAGTAGGCTTACAAAATTAAATCAAGACAAAGATTTTAAAAGGCAAACATTTAAAGTTAATTCAGTATAAACTCAATTTTATGAACTTTTCATTTAAATAATGATCTAATTTTTTTTCCAGGCAATGTTCACTAAAACCACAGTAAAGACATTAAAGCAGTTAAGTACACTACTACTCAAATCTTAGCCTCCACAAAGATGTACCATGGTTTCTAGGAGAAATAGCAGCTTCGACATCTGTAACCAGCAGAGCACAAGATGAGCCCACCAGAACGCAGAGATGCTTGAGTACTAGTGGCTGATTTCACACAGCAATGTGTTGAGTGTTTTCGATGCCCACATACCATTAAGAAATTTTAATTTATGCTGGGTGTGGTATGATGGCACACACCTTTAATCACAGCACAGAGGTAGAGGTAGATCTCTATGAGTTCAAGGCCAGCCTGGTCTACATAGTGAATTCCAGGCCAGGGAGCTACAGGGAGACCCTATCTCAAAAAAAACCAAAGGGGGCTGGAGAGACGGCTCAGCAGTTAAGAGCACTGACTGCTCTTGCACAGGACCCGGATTCGATTCCCAGTACTCACATGGCGGCTATGAACCATCCTTAACTCCAGTTCTAGGGGAATCCAAAGCCCTCTTCTGACCTCCGCGGCATTGCACGACACGGGTGCACTCACATACACGCAGGCAATACACTCATACACATAAAATAAAAATAATAAAATATTTTTAAAAAAGACCAAAAGAAAAAAAGGTTTTAACTTTTACCTTATTATTTTTATGTGTTTTGTCTTTTTATTTTATATGTATTATCTGCATCTATCTAAGTGCCCCATGTCATGCAATGCCTGAAGAGGTCAGAAGAGGGCGTTGGATCCCCTGGAACTGGAGTTACAGATGGGTGCTAGCTTCTGGAAATCGAACCCAGGTCCTCTGCAAGAGCAGTCATCTCAGGCAATACACTCATACACATAAAATAAGATAGTAAATACAATTTAAAAGAGAAATATCTGTAAACAACAGTTAAGTCTGTTCTCTCTTTTCTTGGCTTTTTTTAGTTTAAAAACTTAGCTTATGCCCAGCATGGTGGGGCACACTTTTAGTCCCAGCACATGGGAGGCAGAGGCAGGCAGATCTCTGTAGATTCAAGGACAGCCTAGTCTATGTAGCAAATTCCAGGCCAGCTGGAACTACAGGGAAATCCTGTCTCAAAAAGACACCCACACACACACCCCCCATGGGGCTGGAGAGATGGCTCAATGGTTAAGAATACTGAATGTTCTTACAGAAGACCCCGGTTCAAATCCCAGCACCCACATGGCACCTAACAACTGTCCATAACGCCAGTTCCAGGGGATCCAACGCCCTCTTCTGACCTCTGCGAGCACTGCATAACGTGGGTGCACTTACACACATACAGGCAATACACACATAAATTTTTAAAATATGGTCCCTCCCCCCAATTAGCTTACCTTATTATGTGGCTATGTGATTTTAGTTATGAAAAGATACTTGTTTTACCTTTTATAAAAAGAAATTTCTTTTTCCTATAGCCCCCAGCTGGTCTTGAACTCATTATGTAGATCAGGCTAGGCTCAAACTCACAGAAATCCTCCCAGCCTGATTCCTAAGCACTGGGATTATAGGTGTGAGGGACCACGTCTAGCTATTCTTATAAATTATTATTTATATATGTGTATGTGGCTGTGTGAATGTATCCTTCATGTGTGCAGGTAAAAGCTAGAAAAGGGCATCAGATCCTTTGGAGTCAGAGTTACAGGTAGTTGTCAGTCACCCAACATGGGTGCTAGGAACCTGTTCTGGTTTGTTTCTCCATTGCTGTGACAAATGCAGGAGCTGTGACCATGCAGGAGACTCTTACACATTACCAAGTCCTGCTTCCAGCTTCAAAAAGAGGTGTGGGTCCCCTCTGTGTGCTGACCCTGAGGAAATACCTCCCAGAAGACTTCACCACAGCGGTGCTGGTCTCTTGTTACTTATAGCTGATTTTTCAGCCCCAGCTAACCAGCATCAATTGTCCCAGTAAAGAAAAGGTTTTACTTCAGGTTCTGATCTCTTCTTAATCACAGCTGATTCTTCAGCCCCAGCCAACCAGAACCCACAGATTCTCAATTCAAAATATCACAGGACAGCCCTGATAGTTTCTGCTTCCCTTTGAAGCTTCACAAGCCAGGCCTCCATCGTCTACAACTCTTTCAGCATAACTTATCCAAGCTCCACAGGAACAAACTCTTGAGCACGCAATAGCTTTTCCAGCCCAAAGTTCCAAACACTTCCACAGTTCTCCCAAAAACACCAACATCAGGTCTGTCACAGAAATATCCCACTCTCTGGTACCAATTGCTGTTCTGGTTTGTTTCTCCATTGCTGTGATAAATAAAACTCTCTGACCACTAACAACTTGGGGAGGAAAGGGTTTATTTGTCTTACATCTCCCGGGTCCCAGTTCATCCTGGAGCCCAAAGTAGGAGCTCAGGGCAGGAACCTGGAGGCTGGAGCACAGGCCATGGAGGAATGCTGCTTACTGGCTTGCTCCCCTGGCCCCTGCTCAGCCTGCTTTCTTATGCAATACAGGCCCACCTGCCCAGGGGTGGCATCACCCACAATGGGCTGGGCCCTCCCACATCACCCATCAAGAAGACGCCCCTCAGACATGGCCACAGGCCAGTCCAATAGCGGGAATTTCCCAATTGAGGCTCCCTCAACCCAGGTGTGTCAATTTGACACTAAAGCTATCCAGCACAGAACAAAACTCAGGTCCTCTGAAGATCAGGAAGTACTCATGACTGCTGAGCCCTCTTCTCAAGTCCTGCATCTTTTTCTTAATTTGTCATACCAAACACATTGCCCTTTTTTTTTTTAAACAAAGTACATTAAAATATTAGATTTAAGGTAAGTTCTGAAAAGACTTAAATTTGATTACTTTTGTGATTGTGTAGGTATATACTTGTGCATGGTGGGGAGCAGAGGACAGTGTCAAGTGTCATTCCTCAGGTGCAGTCCTATTTACTTTCGATCATTTCGAGACAGGGTCTCCTTATAGCCCCAGCTGGCCTGGAACTCACTATGTAGACCAGGCTGGACTTGAACTCACAGAGATCTGCCTGCCTCTGCCTCCCGAGTGCTGGGACTAAAGGTCTGCATGACCATGCCCAACTCCACATACTTATTTTTAAGACAAGGTCTCTCTCTCTCTGGCCTGGAACTCACCAAGTATGGCAGGCTGGACAGCAGATGAACCCCAAAGATGCACCTGTCTCCAGCCTCCCTAGCACAGAGATTACAAGTATGTGCCACCATGCCTGACCTTTTCTAAATGGGTTCTATAGATCAGATTCAAGTCCCTCAAGCACCTTACCAACTGAGGCATCTCCCTAAACCCTTAGATTTTATTATTTACCTGTGTGCTTTCCCTCGCCATTTATAAGGCTGAGCCGAATCAGGATTTATTTCAATGGCTCGGTCACAGTCTCGAATGGCAGCATTTGGCTTCTGTAATTTGACGAAGACACTAAAAAACAAGTATTTAAAAGAAAAAAACATTTCAAACAAAACCTTTGGAATTTTTACAGAAGCAAAATTATTTAAACAAAGAGGTGGAAGTTATTCACCAAGAGGTACTTTTGTACCTAAGAGTTCTCACCTGGCTCTCTTGGCATACAGAATGGCCAAGCGAGGATTTAGCTTGATAGCATCTGTGAACAAGTCAATGGCTTTCTGCAGCTCACCTGAAGTGAAATAAAAGTTATTGAGATGATAAGAATGCTGGTAGAATGCTTGAAATCTAATCTAATTAAGACTTTACATTCTTAGTCCAATTAAAAAAACTAGAACAGGGACGGGAGACAGTGACAGAACACTTCTAGAAAGCATCAAACACTGTGTTTAGCAGCTGGCACCATAAACATCTGTAAGCAAGAGTATCTGTGATAACGTCAACTTGCCACAAATTAGAATCACCTGAGTAGGGCACCTCAATGAGGTAAACTACCCAGACCTCCTTCACGGATATGAGAAGTCTTACCCCAAAAGCAGCTGGCACCTTTTGGTGGCAGCACAGATTTAAAAAATGACATGACAGAACAAAAACTTCCCCCCTTTGCTCACTTAGACTCCCCTCTCATCAGTAGGTTAATTTATCCAGCTGCTGCTGCTGCTTCCTTTGCTGATTTCAGAACCAGTGTTTCCAGGCTTCCAGTACTAAGGTTCTCCAGGAGCCTTTCAGGTTTTTTTAAAATTTATTTTTTTTATTTTATGTGCATGAGTGTTATACCCGCAGGTAGGTAAGTGCACCCGTGTCGTGCAATGCCCGTGGAGGACAGAGAGGCTCTCGGATCCCAGAACTGGAGTTATGGACAGTTGTTAGCTGCCATGTGGGTGCTGGGATTCGAACCCAGGTCTTCTGCAAGAACAGCCAGTGTTCTTAACCACTGAGCCATCTCTCTAGCCTCCCCCCCTTTCAGGTTTTCAACACACTGGGATTGCTAAGGAATCCAGCCTCTAGGACTGAGCAACACAGGAGTCGTCTTCAGTGTAGACAGTCATTGTGGAACTATTTTGACTGTTGATGCATCCACCACCAAGCAAGTACTGGGTTCTCAGTTTCTCAGATGTGAGACAACTGTTGCTATTTCTTTTTTTTATGTGTATGAGGATATTGCCTGCACATATGTTAAGTGCACCCATATTGTGCAATACCCATAGAGGTCAGAGGAGGGCACTGGATTCCCCCAGAGCTGAAATTACAGTTGTTACCTGCCATGTAAGTGCTGGGAACAGAACCCAGGACCTCTACAAGAGCATCCAGTGATCTTAACCACTGAGCCATCTCTTCAGCCCTAAAACTGACTCTTGAAAATGAGTTTTTACCTCAATGGAACTCACTTGAGGCAGGAACAATTTTAGGATGCACACATCCTAAAGAATAATGTGGGCTGTGGAATGGCTCAGTGGGTAAAGTGCTTGTAGTGCAAGCCTTAGGACCTGAATTTGAATTCCCATAACCCATGTGAAGCCAGCCAGTGTTCTTAACTGCTGAGCCATCTCTCCAGCCCCTGGATTTGTTATTATTTATGTGTCTATATGTGTTTGTGCTTGAGTGTATGCACGCGTCTGTATATGAGTGCCCACAGGGGCTAAGAGACAACATAGGATCCCTTGGAGCTGGAGTTATAGGCATTCGTGAGCTGCTGATGTGGGTGCTGAGATCCAAGCTCCAAGCCTCATGATAAGAATGGCAGGTACTTGCAATGGCCGAGTTATCTCTCCAGCTCCACATTCTTAACTTTTAAAAAAATTCTAATTTCTTTATGTATATGTCTGTGCATTCATGCATGGAGGTCAGAGGACAACTTGCAGGAGTCAGTTCTCTCCTTCCATCATTTGTGTCCCAAGGATCGAACTTATGTCAATCAGGCTTGGTGGCAAGCACCTTTACCCATGGAGCCAACTCACCAGCCCATTCGTAGCTTTTATTAAAAACTGGGGACTTGGGGCTGTAGAGATGGCTCAGCAGTTAAGAACACTGTTCTTGCAGAAGACCTGGGTTCAAATCCCAGCATCCACATGGCAGCTAACAAACTGTCTGTAACTCCAGTCCCAGGGTATCTGACAGCCTCTTTTGACCTCCGAAGAATGCATTGCACGACACAGTGCACTTACCTACATTCAGACAATACACACATACACATTAAAAAAAAAAAAAAAAAAAGCCGGGTATGGTGGCACACGCTTGTAGTCCCAGCACTTGGGAGGCAGAGGCAGGTGGATATCTCTGTGAGTTCAAGGCCAGCTGCGACTACAGGGAAACCCTGTTTCAAAAAGATCTGCCCCCCCCCCCAAAAAAAAACAAAAAACTGGGGACTGGAGAGATGGCTCAGCGGTTAAGAGTACTGGCTGCTCTTGCAGAGGACCTGGATTCAGTTCCCAGCACCTATACGGCAACTAACAACCATCCATAATGCCAGTTCCAGGTGATCTGACTGACACTCTTTTCTGACCTCCAAGGGCAATGCATGACATGAGTACACTTAACATGCAGGCAATACACTCATATGCATAAAGAAATAATATATTAAAAAAAAACCTGGACCTTTAAGTGAAGCCATCCAATAGATAAAAACACACTACAGAGTTAGAACAGTTCTTTGAACAGAAGAAAGTCAAATTCTCAAGGGCAAGACAAATGCATAATTTTAAACTGTTAATCTTTACAGGTAATTCTTTTTTTATATTTTATTATTTTATATTATGTGTATGAGTATATTGCCTGCATGTATGTATGTGCACCCTTGTAGTGCAATGCCCTTGTTGTAGAGGTCAGAAGGTGGTGTTGGATCCCCTAGAACTGGAGTTACAGATGGTTAGCCACCATGTGGGTATTGGGAACCAAACCCCGGGCCTCTGCAAGAGCAACCAGTGCTCTTATCCACTGAGCCATCTCTCCAGGCCCCCTTTTACAGGTAATTCTATATGGTAACCCAGATCTACCATGTTCAAAACTGAAACTTAACCCCAGTACCAGAGCTCAAACCCAGGGCCTTGCATATTCTAGGCAAATACTACTACTGAACTACATCTCCAGCTCAAAAGTTAATAGTTAATTCCTATTCCATCTGCAAAACTATTCTCCACCCCCATCTTCCCAAACTGTTCCTCTTTTTATCTAGGACAGAAGTTGGTAAACTGTTTTGTGAAAAATAGCCATGTAATGATTATTTTTACACACTGTAGACCATAAAACTCTGTCCAAGTAGCTTTTACAGTGGCAAAGTAGGCATAGTCGGGTGCCGCAACTAGAACTCAAATCAAGGCAATGTGGTGTGTAACCGTGTCTGTAACTACTACATTCCTGCTTTCCGGAATCAAAGTGCTTTTGCCAAGTCCAGGTGAGGATCAGACTCAAAATACCCGACTTAGAATGCTCATCTTTGATCGTTTAGCATAACTCTAAACAGAACATAAACTCTGAAACTGCACAAGTTATAAAATCAGAACTCGGAGCTGGAGAGATGGCTCAGCAGTTAAGAACACTGGTTGTTCTTGCAGCACCCACTTGGCAGCCTATAACTGAAACTCCAGTCCCAGGAGATCCGACAGCCTCTTCTGTCCTCTGCGGGCATTACATGACACAGGTGCACTAACACACATGCAGGCAATACACTCATACACATAAAATTAAAAAAAAAAAAAACCCAGAAGTTGGAGAGCCAGGTGGATCTCTGTGAGTTCAAGGCCAGCCAGGTCTACATAGTGAGTTCTGGGCCAGCTGGTGCTACAGGGAGACCCTGTCTCAAAAAGACCAAAAAAAAAAAAAGAAGTCAAATTTTTACGTGCACATTGACAGGCTGCTTTGAAACAAGAAAACAAAAATAACTCCCTGAAGAGTAAAACTAGTAATTAGTGATAGAAGAATAGTGAAGATACTGGGCCAGTTACAACCCCTCTGAGCCACTGTCAATCTATACAACTAGCAGGATTTTTTTTTTCCTTTTTTAAAAGATTGTGTGTATACATGTGGGTAGAAGACAACTTGTAGGAACTGATTTTTTTTCCTACCATGTGAGTTCCAGAGACTGGACTCAGGTCATCTGGATGGGTAAAAAACACCCTACTGAGTCATCTCCTTGTGTTAGTATGAGGTTTTAATGGACTAATTTGTGTGAAAACATTATAAAACTACAAGGCACAGTGACATTAAATAGATGCTAAACAGTTCTCGTAGGTTATTTTTTACTACTTATTGGTATGTTATAGTAATTCTATACAGTAACCTAGATCTACCATGTTCAAAATTAAAACTGTTCAGAATTACAACTAGTTTGGAAAAAGACTGGTAAAACCACTGGCTGGGAATAGTTAATGGGTTTGAATTAAAAGATTATAACTGGTGAACAACTTCTCACAGACGTCGTAAAGCACAAGTAAAGGAAAGCTCTAGGACTATGGAAGTTGGACTGGAATAGAAAAGTAATACTCAAACCAAGGATTGGAGGGCCAACAAGATGGCTGAGTGGGTAAATGTGCTTGCCCAGCAAACTTGATGACCAGAGTTCTAGCTCCAGAATCCACATAAAGTGGAGAACCGCCTCTACAACACTCACCATGGCATATGCACTCCCTCCCCCACCCTAATAGTAAGCATTAAATAATTAAAAAGGGGAGAGGGTGTGGTGGCTTGTGGACTCAATGACTACAGTGCTTACCTAGCATCCTGGAGACCCTGGGCTCAATACCCACCACAGGGTGTGCGTAGGAGCAGGTGATGGACCAGGATAGTGACAAACAAGCACACAGTGGCCCATACCTATAAACCTAGCACCCAGCAGACTGAGATGGGAGAATCACAGTTGGAGGCTTGCCTAAGACAGGACCCAAAGCACAAACAAAATAGTCTGAACTCAGCAGGTGGGCAAAGCCACGATAACCTTTAAGATATACATACGAAAAGTTACAGGCCAGAGGCAAAACAATGAAAAGCAGGGTTTGTTGTTTTCATTTTTGAGACAGGGTCCCACTTGTGCAGCCTTGGCTGGCCAAACTCACTGTGTAGATCAGGCTGGCCTCAAATGCCAAGAGATCCATCTGCTCCTGCCTCTAAATGCTGAGATTAAAGACCTTAAAAAGCACTTGTTAATAGAGAATGCAGGAATAGTGGACAAAGGTCAGGCAATCAACTGGAATTTCAAAATACTAAGGCAAGTCTAGTCTACATAGGAGAAGCATGTGACAAGGATTAAAAACATGTTAAACTGAACTGGGCCTACTGACCAATGCCTAACCTTTACCTGCTGAGTCACCTGTTTTGCTTTTTCTTTGAGGACCTAACACTATTCCTGTTCTGACAAGTGTTACACCATGAACAGTATCTGTCAAGGGTATTCCTATGTCAAGTTAGAGAATAACACTAGTAGTTTCTGGGAAGTCTTTCACCTTTTTAACGCTGCTTCTAATCTAAGCAGCATGGGCCAGTGCTTTAGTATTTCAAGATACGCAAAGAGGTAGAGTCAGATCTGTCTATGCTGAGGCTAGGTAGCTGCACTGAGTAATTTTAGCCTCTTTCCCATCCGGTAGGAGATGGAGGGTGGGTGGATAACAGGAGATTAACATCTTCAGTTTGAAAAAATTCAAGCTCCCATCAACTTTTTCACTATTTAACAGCCACTGAAGCAAGAGAAACATTCAGACTTACAGAAACAGGAGAGGAGAAAGCACTACTCACCACCACTCAGGGCTTCGATGGCAGCCCCTTTCTTTTCATTTGCTTGATCCATCATCTCCTCAGTTATCTAGTAGGAAACTGAAGGTTATTTTAAAGTACTGAAGACAGCATAAGGAGGAAGGGATTTGGACTTTCTTAGGGATGAATTAGTCACAACTCAATCATTCATCTCTACGTGTCCACGAAGGAAAGAACTTAACTACAATGACCAGCTAGTGAAAAGCTGAACATGTTATATCAAGCACATTTCATACCCTACTCTCTCTGCCCTAGAACTGACTTTTGCTTTACTTCCTCCCAACCAAAGAAAATTGTTCGCCTTAGTCTTATCACCTCCTTGGGAATCATCCATGAAAACTAAGTTCAATCACAAGAAGTTAACTAGCTCCTTTCATGCACTTGAATCCTCAGAAGGTCTCAGGCCTTTATTCCCCTTAAGAACCTAGATAGCAGAACAAACACAAGAAAGATGCTGACAAAATAAGAACCCATATTGGGCTGGAGAGACGGCTCAGTGGTTATGAGCACTGACTGCTCTTGCAGAGGACCCGGGTTTGAGTCCCAGCACTCTCACCGCAGCTAACAATCATCTGTAACTCCAGTTTCAGGGGATTCGATGCCTTCTTCTGACCTCCGAGGGCATTGCATGACATGGATGTACCTACTTACATGCAAGCAATACACCCATACATACACATTAAATAAAAGTAAAATTTTTTTTAAAAATATAAAACCTGCCAGGCGTGGTAGCACACGCCTTTAGTCCCAGCACTCAGGAGGCAGAGGCAGGTGGATCTCTGTGAGTTCAAGGCCAGCCTGGTCTACATAGTGAGGTCCAGGACAGCCGGGGCTACAGGGAGACCCCGTCTCAAAAAGACATATATATATATATATATATATATATAAAACCAAATCTAAAAGGTAACATTGGGCAGTTCTTTTAACTATATCCACTTTATCACAAGTACTACGCAAAACAGCACATGCACATGCTGGCTAATGGACTAAGAACCTCATGCTCAAAGTGTGTGGTGGCACACCTCTTAATCCCAGCACTCATGAGGCTGAGGCAGGTGGATTTCTGTGAGTTTGAGATCAGTCTGGTCTACGTAGCAAATTCCAGGGCTGTACCCCGTCTCAAAACCAGAAAAACAAGAGAAAATGATCTCATAGGTCTAAGGACAAGAAAAGAAAGTAACAAGCTATCCTCATACCTAACTAGAAAATCCCACGAAAATGACAAGTTACTCAATCTGTAAGACAAGTCAATAAACTCGTCAGGCCTAAGAACAATATAAAAAGCCAAGCAAGTCAGGCATTGTAACATACATCTATAATCCCAGCACTTAGGAGGCAGAGGAAGTGAAAAAAGGACTGCCCCAAATCCAAGACCAGCTTGGTCTACAAAGTAAAGACCCTGTCTCAAAGAGCCAACAACAGAAACAAAGCCAAAGCTGGAGTTCCTCTAAACCACCACCACCAACAAAATCACATAAAATAGAAACCAAGCCTATAAAACACAGTATTTAAAACCTCATAAGACTTCTACATCAAGAAAAAGTAAAACACTATTAAAGAAACATAAGACTTCAAGAAATTTTTGTTTCGTATCAAAGGCTGTATGTATTTGTGTAATCCAGGATTCAGAAATGAAAGAAAACATGATCTCTGTCTATAAAGGTTTGGCTTATTTCAATTAATATGATCTCCAGGTGCTCCCATTTTCCAGAAAACAACATAATTTCATTCTTCTTTATGGCTGAATAAAAAGACTGTGTATATATACACATTTTCTTTATATATACTTATTTATATGTATGAGTGTTTTACCTCCTTGTATATAAGGACTCCTGTGTCATACAACGCCCTTGGAGATCAGAAGAGGGCATCCAATCCCCTAGAACTGGAGTTGCAGGTGATTGTTGGCCAGCATGTGGGTGAGCACAGCCAGTGCTCTTAACCACTCCAGCCCTATACCACATTCTTTATGCATTCACCTGTTGACAAACTTCCAAGCTGATTTCCTTACTTGGCTACTGTGAATAGAGCTGCACTAAGCATGGTTGTGCAAGCATGCTTGTGGCATGCTAACAGAAGTGTCCTTCAGGTCTCAGGAGTGGTATGGGGCAGGAAGAGTGAGGTGGGGAGTACTGTCACAGTGCATTCTACTACTTCAATCTGTCTTTAAGAAAAAAGTAAAAAAGGAAAATTACTCTGATTTGATCAGTATACACTGTATACAAGTACTGAAATACCCACTGTGCTTGAGAAACATACAATTTTGTGTCTCAAAGATTGTTAGGCATGTATCATATTAATGGCATTCACTGAATATTCTGATCCATTTTTCCAAGTTACTTATTAAATCCCAAGCTGGTTTCAACAAAAACTCCTTTGACAAATTAAAAAACATGTTTTTAAAAACAAAGTTATGGCCAGGTGTGGTGACACATGCCTTTAGTGCCAGCAGAGGCAGATGGATCTGAGATTTCCAGGCCAGCCTGGTCTACATAGCGAGTCCCAGGCCAGTCCCACTACAGGGAAACCATCTCAAAAAGACAAAAAAAACAAAAAGAAGGAAAAAAAACCCACAAAGTTAGAAACACTTCAAATAACAAGCAGTAAGCCTCTACATGAAACAAGGGTAACTTTAGAAAAATAAACAAATTTTTTTTTTAATTTGTTTAGTTTAAGGCAGTATGGTACACACAGTGCCTTGAATAAGTCTTACCTAAACAGTCTGTTTGCAGAATGCAGAGAGCTTCAAAAAACACAGGATTAAATGAAGGCTGAAATTCAGGACAGTCATGTGCTCAGTCTATTCTCACCCTGGGAGCACATGTCAAACCTGATTCCCTGCTGTGTTGTTTTTGAAGATAACGTAGGCCACCAGACAAAGAATACATTGAAATGAAAAGAATGCAAATGCTCTAACCAGAAGCAATTCCAAATGAATCTCAAACTCTAAATGCTTATACTGGCAAGCATCATAAAAATAAAAACTAAAGAGGGATAGTCAAGTAGAGATGGATGAGGGGGAAGAGCTCCCTGAAAATCCAAAACTGGGCTGGTAAGATGGCATAACAGGTGAAGATGCTTGCCACCAAACCTGACAACCCAAGTTTTATCTCCAGGACCCACATAGTAAAAGAACAGATTCCTGCAAATTGCCCTCAGACCCCCATGTGAATGTACATAAACACACAAACATAAAATTTTTTTAAAAAGAAAATCCAAGGGGGCTGGAGAGATGGCTCAGTGGTCAAGAACACTTGCTGTTATTCCAGAAGACACAGGTTCGATTCCCAGCACCCACATGGCAGCTAACAACCATCTGTAACTCAAGTTCCAAGGGATCCAACACCCTCTTCTGGTCTCTTCAGGCTTCACATGACAGGGGTGCATTGATATGCATGCAAGCAAAAACTTATCGACATTAAAAAAAAAAGGCCAGCCTGGTCTACATAGTGAGTTCCAGGACAGCTGGGGCTACAGAGAGACCCTGTCTCAAAAAGACCAAAAAATAATAAAAATAAATAATAAATAAATAAATAGAAAATCCAAAACCATGAAGCAGTCACTCACTTGAAATTCTCCATTACCAATATAAACAAGCAAACTGATAAAACACTGAATTTAAAATGGTCCTTTGAGATAGCTAGTAGTCCTAACTCACAAGTGTTGATGGATGCAAATTATATTCCCTTTTACAGGAACATTTACCATCTACATGGACCTTGAAAATTTGAATTCCAAAGAACTTATAGCCAAAATATTACACATAAGCAGGGAGGTCACACACCAGAAAATCCAAGCAGTCAGGAGGCTTTCTTAAGGCATGAGAGTTGCAAGTTTGGATCCAGCATGGGCTATCTATACACACACACACACACACACACACACACACGCACGCACTCCCTAAAAGAAAAGGCATGGTGGCGCATGCCTATAGCCTCAGCACTTGGGAGGCAGAGGTAGGCAGATCTCTGAGTTCCAGGCCAGCTGAGGTTACAGGGAGACCCTGTCTCAAAAAGAACCAAAAAAATTTAATTTATATTATTTTTATTTTATGTGTATGAGTGTACTGCCTGCATGGAAGTGTATCCATGTCAGCCTGATCTACATAGTCGGTTCCAGGCCAGCTGGGACTACCAAGAAACCTGTTTTAAAAAAAGGTGTAATAAACCAAGTAGCCTCTTCAGATTCAAAGGTAAATGAGAAACACTAGAATTCATGTATAATATACCACCATGATAAAAGATTAAATTTATTAGAGAAAAAGATTAACATATCTCATCAGAATTCCAGAATGGTGAAGAAGCACTATTTGAAAGAAATATTTTTAATTGTTTTAGAACTAAATGTTAACCCTAGAATTTCAGATAGTCAAGGGATCTTAGGCATAAAAGATAAATTATAAACAGAACACAGAATTTTTAAAGGTCTCTTTTTGTAAACAGTGACCCAAAGTACTTGCATTGTCCTTAACAAAGATGCATGAAACTTAAGAGGAGAAAAGGAGTTAGAAAGCTTTTGAAAAACATCTTTAGTCCTAGGACATGGGAGGCAGTGGAGTGGGGGGGGGGGGGGGGGGGGGGGGGG